GAGAATCACTAAGTCTGACGTCCAGGGCCATCTGGGGAAGTGTTCTATAGGCACTGGAAATGTAAGTTCAGAGCACAGGAGATTGATATGGAGCTAAGGGATTCACAAGTGGTTAAAGACAAATGAAACCATGGGTATCACAAGGTGACTTGGGAGAATGTGTAGAAGATGGGTGAACAGAAGGGGTGAGAACAGGCAGGGCAGGGAAGGACAAAGGAGCGGACCAAGGAACTCTAGAGAATGCCAGTGTTTATGACAGAGACTAAAGGAAAAAATAATGGTAACTAGAAACAATGTCAAACTAAAGTTTTAAAAAGATCCAAAGTCTTATAAAAAAATGAAAGAAAAAAATTTAAAAATGGAAGAAATAACATGTTTCAGTTGGTCATGAATTTTTAATTTCTTCAAGAATTGTGTTTAAAGGAACCTAAATTGGGTTACAAATCAGATATCATTCCCTACTTTTATAGAACTGTTATTAAAAACAATGTATCTAAACATCATATAAACTATCTGAAGAATACTAATTGTTATACCATTTTAATGAGTTGATTAATTACTGTGATATTAATCTAGTGACTCTAACATAAAAGTATCACATGTAATAAAATTTGATGACCTATAAATCAAGAAGAAAATTACAGTTTAGATTATGGGGCTTTTCAGTATAAAGATTACATTTCTAAAAACAATATATATATATATACAAACTTATATAATCAAATGATTTACATCAAATGATGCATTTTCCAGAGATGTTAAGAGGACTGAGGAAAAAAATATGACATATTACATGTGGGAAACTGGTATTTTAAAACTCTTTTGAGCTTTGAAATTGCCACTAAGTGTTATGTTTCATTCAGCAGGAAAACAAAACAAATCAAAACATGTTTAACTTTGTATAACTGAAGCATCCTTCACTTATTTAAAGAAAGAAGTCTGCCTGGCTGGCGTAGCTCAGTGGATTGAGCGCGGGCTGGGAACCAAAGTGTCCCAGGTTCAATTCCCAGCCAGGGTACATTCCTGGGTTGCAGGCCATAACCCTCAGCAACTGCACATTGATGTTTCACTCTCTCTCTCTGCTCTGCCCCCCCTTCCCTCCCTAAAAATAAATAAATAAAATCTTAAAAAAGAAAGAAAGAAAGAAGTCTGCCCAGCAAAGCTATCATTTAGAATTAAAGAGCAGACAAAGACCTTCCCAGAAAGCAAAAGCTAATGGAGGTTATCACCACCAAACCAGTATCACAAGAAATGTCCAAAGGTCTTCTTCAAGAAGAAGGGGGAAAAAAGGTTAAAAAAAAATGAACAATACCCCTGGCCAGGTAGCTCAGGTGGTTAGAGCATTGTCCAGAGGCACCAAGGTTGTGGGTTTGATGGTCAGGGCGTCTAGAGGAATCAACCAATCAGTGCATAGAAAAGTGGAAGAACAAATCGATGTTTCTCTCTCTTTCTCTCTGTCTTTCTCCCTTCCTCTATCTCTCTCTAAAATCAATTTAAAAATATGAATAATAAAATGGTAATAAATACATATCTTTCAACAATCACTTTAAATGCAAATGCATTAAATGCTTCAATCAAAAGATACATGAAGGGATAACAAAATAAGACCCTTATATATGCTGTTTATAGGAGACTCACTTCAGACTGAAAACCACACACAGACTGAAAGCAAACAGATGAAAAAGATACTTCATAAAAATGGAAACAAGCAAACAAAAGCTTGAGTAGCAATACTTACACCATACAAAATAGACTTTAAAACAAAGGTTATATAACAAGAAACAAAGAAGGAACCAGCAATTCTACTTCTAGATGTGTGTCTGAATAAACCCAAAACACAAAATCAAAAAGACATTTACATCAATTTGTTCATTGCAGCATTATTTATAATAGCCAAGATATGGAAGCAACCTAAGCATCCATCAATAGATGAGTGGGTAAAGAAGTGGTGCATCTATATGATGGAATATGACTTGGCCATAAAAAAGAATGAAATTTTACCATCTGCAACAACATGGATGGACCTAGAGGGTACTATGCTGACCTAGAGGGTATCATGCTGAGTGAAATAAGTCAGACAGAGGAAGACAAATGCCATATGATTTCACTTATATGTGGAATATTAAAAAAAAAAAACCATGAACAAACAAAACAGAAACAGACCCATAGATATAGATAGCATTTTGACAGTTGCCAGCTAGGAGGGGATTTGGGGGGACTGATGAAAAAGGTGATGGGATTAAGAAGCACAAATTGGTAGTTACAGAATAGTCAAGGGACTGTACAGCACAGCATAGGAAATATAGTCAAAAATATTGTCATAACTATGTATGATGTCAGGTGGGTACTAGATTTATCGGGTGATCACTTAGTAAGTTATATAACATCTAATCACTGGGTTGTACACCTGAAATGAATATAATATTGTATGTCAATTATAATTTTAAAAAAACAAAAAATATTTAAAGTAAAAAAAGATGGATAAGTCCTGAGCATGATAAGTATAGTTAATAATGCTTACTGTATACTTGAAACTTGCTAAAAGAGTAGATCTGAGGTGTCCTTACCATAAAAAAATTAAAAGGTTAACTATGTGGGGGGAAAAAAAAAGAAGTCTGTTATGGACCATTGTCCTACCAATATTAGTGTGAGAAACACTGCCTTGTGGGATTTGTGTTTTCTTAATTATTTTTTAATATTAGCATTCTTTTTCATTTCAAGAACTTACATCATTTTTCTCCTTAAACAGACTATGTATAACAAAGGTTTCTTTATTAACTATTATTTTAAACATATTTGGGACAAAATAATTTTGGGGAAGAACATATATCTAGTACTATAAAGTCAATTAAAATTATATAATTGAGTTTAAATAAATTAAAGCCAAATATTTCAAGTATAGTACTTCAAGTTACTTAATATGAATCACAGGGGCATAGTGCCACAAGAAAGTACATAGTTCAGCCACTAGGTGGCGGTAAGAGTAAATTTTTGTTACAATTTCATAACAAAATTTGTTGTATGCTCAGCATCCTATTTTTCAGCTTACATAGACATTTAATTTGAAGGATGTCTTCTCCTTTTAGTTAATTTTTTTATATACAGAAGAATAAACACTTTCCAAGATAACCAGAATATGATAAGTGTTCTGGTTATATGATATTGTTTGGGATTCTTTTTACTTATTGTTGTTCTGATTGGTTGTTTTTCTCTTCCTTAAGTCCAAATCATTGCTCTGATACTCAGCTTTATCCACTCTACTGTTGATTCAAATTGTTCTTTATTTCAATTAGTGTATCCTTCATTTCTGTCTTTTTTATACAGCTGAGGTCCTCACTAAGTTCCTTGAGCATCCTTATAACCAGTGTTTTGAACTCTGCATCTGATAGATTACTTATCTCCATTTTAGTTCTTTTTCTGGAGTTTTTACCTGTTCTTTCATTTGGGCCATGTTTCTTTCTATTCTCACTTTGGAAGCCTCCCTGTGTTTGTTTCTATGTATTAAGCAGAGCTGCTGTAAGTCTCCATCTTGGTAGCATGCCCTAATGTATTAGGTGCTCTATAAGTTCCAGTGGCACAGCCTACCCTATCAACCAAGTGGGTATTCAACGTGTGCCCTTTGTGTGGGCTGAGTAAATCGCCTCTTGTTGCTGAGCCTTGATTACTGTTGGCAGGTCAATGGGAGGGATTTTCCCAGGCCAGTCAGCTATAAGCACTAGCTTTAAGTACTGACTACCAACCTCCATCCTCCATAGAGGGTCAACTGTGCAGGAGCAGGGTGGTGGTGCTCTGACATGGTCTGTAGCTGACCATTGGGTGTGCTGGTCCCTGGGGTTTCCCAGGTGCTGCAGGCCAAGGTCAGCTCTCTCCTGTGTTCTGCCTAGGGCCACCCTGTATGAATAACAAAGCAATCTGCAGATGGCTGCTACTTGTGGTGGCTTTGGAGTTTTCCAGGTGAAACCAGCTGTGAACCTAGGCTGGCTGCTGCTAGTTCTGGGCCTGGGGCCACTTAAAAAGAGGTATGGGGGTGGGGAGCTCAGTGAGGCTGGCTGTTGTTTGAGAGAATTGATGAAGATGTGAAGCATGAGCCAAAACCAGCTTTTCATATGGCCAAGGCAGTTAACAAGTTTCGAGGGGGGGCTATAAATTGAAGAAGGTGTAGCCTAAGGGATTCACCTGGGTGGGGCAAACAGTGCTATCCAGGTTGATGGAGTCTCCAATATGGCAGCAGACTGCTGGCTGTGTGGCTTTGTGGGGGAGGGTTCAGAAGCAGAACATTGGCTTCTGCCTGCCTTTTTACCTGGGAGAAGGCTGTCCCCCAGCTCTCGCCTTGATGCCAGATACTTCAGTTCCTCCCCATATGCCACTGATACCTTTCAAGCTGCTTCCGTAGTGCTGCAGCTCAGAGGGAGTTAATTGAATAAGTCTTTGTGCAGGTTCTTTAAGAGGAACTGCTTGGGATTCCAGAAATTTCTTCCACTGACTCAACTGTCACTGGTTTTTGCAGCCAGAAGTTATGGGACTTATCTTTCTGGCACTGGAGCCCTGGGCTTGGGTCCTGGTGTGGGGCTGGGATCCCTCACTCCCAAGATATCCTTCCCAAAATTTTATGTACACTACATGGGTATGAGACTAGCTTGTTCCATGTCTCCACATCTCTGCTCCTCTTACCAGTCTGGATGAATGTGGTTTCTTTAATTCCGTAGTTGTTGAACTTCCATCCAACTTGATTTCTGACAGTTCTGAGTGATGGTTGTTCTCTATTTTAGTTGTGACTTTGATGTGGTTGTGTGGGGAGGTGAGCAGTGTTTACCTACGTCTCCATCTTGACTGGAAGCCCTAAGACTATGTTCTTAATTGACACTTAGTAATCTACTTGGTGCCTGTGGCCATTAGATATCTGTTGAGCAACTCATTTAATTAATTGTTTTAAAAGCAATCTTCACTGTTAGAATGGTTGTCTGGAGAGAGGAAAGACCCTTTCTGAATATTTAGCCTACCTGGTACAAAATGGGAATTGTAGTCAGGAGGGGCATCAGGCTGTGGATTAGGTGACTTTATTTGATTTTCCATTTCATCAGCAGATTTCTCAGGTGCTGTGGGGACCACACCTTTGGGGAAAGGTAAAGGACAAGATTTATAACAGAAATGATATGATAACAGAATGTACTCATTTTTTTCCTATTGGCATGCACCAATGGGTAAAACTAATATGAAATACAGTCATATTTCATACAAAAACATAATTCATTATGTATATTAAATATCAACCTGTTAATATATATTTGATTAATTTTCTGGCTGAATATAGATTTAAAAATAAAATACAGCATTATACCACTAGGTGATGATCCAAGCAACGAGTTTTTGTGCTAGTAGCTTCAGTGGGCCTGAATCTGACTGCTCCTTACTGAAATCCTTTTCACAGTGTCAAAAACCCTTTCTCCTAATATATACAGTCATACATAGAGTGAATCTGACTTTTTCCTGAATCCATTTTTGGAAATAGCTGCATTTAAAAAAAATTCAAAACATAACACGATAAACACTTAGTAAATTCAAAACAGAGCCTAATGAATACTAAATGTTTGAGAACCAGCGGAGCCACACACAGCCCCATGAGAGGGGGTTGGGTCTGAATCTGCATTGCCAGTGAGTAACACTTGCACCCTGTTCTTCCTAAGAGGCCTGAGTCACCTTGATGACATCAAGGGGGTACTGAAGTGTCTTTCCATGATGTCTTCTTATTGAAATGAGAGAAGCTTATCCTTGGACTCTCTAGAAGGAAACGTTCTGAATCTCTTAACTGATTGACTTTTATCTAAAAAAACACACACATATCCCACAAATGTGATGTTTCTCTCCTGATATCATCTCCTGCATTGCTTGCAGATGCATGGGTTACTTTTGAGCCCCTCTCTGTGAAGGTAGGCTGTGATCACAGGCTTTTTATTGTTACTACCTTTCTTTTTTTCACTCACAGTGTCCCAGTCACACCTGACCTCTTTGTCTACGTGGGGTATTCCAAGCTCAGTGCTACATCAGGGCCTTTGCTCTTCCTTGTCTTTCTTTCTGGAACTCTCTTCCCACATTATTGGTGTAATGTCTCCTTTCATAGTTCAAATAGCTCAAAGGTCACCTCCTGAGAGAAGGTTACCCTGATGCTCTTACGTCAGGGTAAGAGCAGACTTACTTTCCTACCAGTATTTTTCCTTTACTCAAACTTCCTCATGTACTTTAGAGATCTTTCAGTAAATATGTGCCAATATAAATCCCTTTTAATCCTTTTTGTTAAATATAGAAAGGAATGTTCATATGTATAAAGAATATATACACATGAATATATATTCTCCAAATACTAAATAACAATAAAAAACTTTGAAATGAAATAAATTCCAATTTTTAAAGAAATCACACAATTCACATTTGAAAATAAAGCATATTAGAACTTATTCACAAAAAACTTACCTGACATTTTGAAGAATTCCAATTAACCCTGAAAAATAAAATATTTCACACCTTAAAAAATATAGTTACCATTATTACTTAGTGATACATAAACAAATTCTGTGATTCTTTTAGGTATCAGATACCTTTCACTGATTCCTTCATTAATTCAACAAATATTTACTGAACACCTGTTATGTACCAGGCACTATTACAGATGTTGAAAATATAGCAGTAAAGCAGATGGACACACTGCTGGACATTATATTCCAGTGGAATGAGATTTCAAAATATGTCAACAAATACTTAAGATTAAATTATATACTACAGTTATGAAGAAAGTAAAAAGTTTAAGGAAAACATGAGCGTCAGGGTACCCTTCTCTCAGGAGGTGACCTTTGAGCTATTTGAACTATGAAAGGAGACATTACACCAATAATGTGGGAAGAGAGTTCCAGAAAGAAAGACAAGGAAGAGCAGAGGCCCTGATGTAGCACTGAGCTTGGAATACCCCACGTAGACAAAGAGGTCAGGTGTGACTGGGACACTGCAAGTGAAAAAAACAAGGTAAGGAATGATTTGATCATACCTAAAAGCCAGGGAAAAATGCTAGGAATTTGTTGTAATTGCAGTGGAGTGATCAGATCTGATCAATAATTTATCTTGAGGGGGCAAGAGTACAGGCAGAGAGCAGTGAGCAGCAAGGGATGGCAGCAGCTATCAGATGAGAGATGATGCTGACTTAGGGTGGGCAGGTAACCCTGGTTTGGTCAGATGTATGACATGATTTAGAAGCAGATTCTACAGATGGGCTAAAGAAGGCAGGACTCAAGATGGATCTCAGTTTTAGGTCAGGACACCTAAGTTGGTGACTGAAGTAGAGAGGAAGATGGTGAGGAAAATGGTAGAGAATGGGGAGGGCAGGAATCAAAAGTTCCAATCAGGACATGTTAGGATTAAGAGGAGGCCAGAAGAAGACATGTTAAACGTTTAATCTAAAGTGTGTGTGTGATCATTATAAGAATAACTCAGAGAAGTAAATTGGAAGTTCAGATGAGATTTTGAAACAAGGGGTGCTTGGAGAGAAACTTCAATTTGATCAAGAAAGAAAAAGAGGTTATATGAGAAAGGAATTTCAGTATTTCGAGTTTCTCAGTTCTGGGTGATGACAAATAACAAGGAGGACAACAACATTGTAATTTCCTGCATGTTTATCAAATGTCAGGCAAAGTGTTCAGCACTTTTCACCTATTATCTCTAGTTATACCAGCAACTCTCTAATATGTAAATGGACAAACTTGTTAAACTCAAGTAAATCCAAAGTCCATGTTCTTTCCAATATGTTATCTTGTTTATCGGAGTCGTGAATGTGGACAGTGTGTTGTCTAAGTAGAGTAGAAAGTCACCAACACAGAGTAGGTATCAAAAAGTGTTAGAACACCGTGTCAGTAGTCAATACAGACACTGAGTTCACTCAGTGGATGTCATCATGACATAAGCCAGTATGTAGGTTCCCAGCTCAAATGACTATCCTGACTAGCATGGGCCAGAATTTCCAGTCTTGGACCACTTCCACTCACCTCTGGAAGAGAAGTTAGGTGTCTTAAATGTAAAAAAGTTTTCTGGGGCACACCAAAAATCCAGACTCAATCGCAGGCCCACCAGGGAGTTCAAGGAAATTGATCCTATTTCTTGAATAAAGGTGACCTCTGGTATTTAGAAAATGGCCACACCTTTCTAGAACCTTAAATTCTGGACATACCTAGGAATGTATCCTCAAGTGACTCTTGTACATGTGCACAAAGGTTATCTATAAGAATGTTCTTGACACATTGGTCACATAAAAAGAAACTGAAAGCATTCCTAATGTCCATCAATGGTACAATAGATTCTGGTATATTCATATGTCCCCCCCTTAACGTCATTGATAGGTGCTGCAACTTTAAAGGGAATGACAATGCGTACCCAATTTTAATGCAGGCTAATTGATGTAAACAAGTGTTAAGTTCCTACAGCACCTCATCAACATCGTAACAAAACTACGCAGAAAAAAAAAAGACATTATCTGAAGACCTGTTGTAGTGAAAGCAAACTACAGCCAAACACATCAACAGGGATGAACTTCAAAATTATAACACTGAAAAAAATAAAAGCAAGTCATCTGGGAAAACATATGAATCCATTTAAAAAGTGTTCAAAACCAGGGAACTGAAACACTTTTTTTCTGATACATCTATGGGAAAACTTTAAAGAAGAGTCAGGGAATAACACAAAATTCAGGAAAATGGTCACACGTGGAGGAGAAATGATGTGTGTTAAATACTGAGCAGTGGCCCACGAGGGGCTTGAAGCTCCTGCTAATGTTCTGGTTCTAACAGGGTAGTGGGTACAGGAATGATCCATTGTTATTAGTTTTTGAAGGGTATAGATATATGTTTAAATGTGCATATTTAGAGGTATAACATTGTTTTGCAATGAAAAGAATAACTTGACAGTTCTATGTTGAGTGGAACCTTCTAACTAAACACCTGTTGTTCCTTTCTACATTAAGCCTAGGGAGTACAGGCTGTCAAGGAACAATGAAGGAAATGAATTAGAAGAGCATATTAAGTGCCTTAATAGGGAAACAGGCCAAATTACCCACCACCCATCCGACCATCCAGCCACCTATTCAAATGTCAATAATGGCGAATGGTACAGTATAGTACAAAAGTGGCAAATTTTAGCAATTGTTGAATCTGGGTTAAGAGAAAGATTTGAATATTTTTATTTTTGAAATTAAAACTCGAAGGGAAAAAGACAGAATTCAGTGAGATTACAACTGACCCCACAGAAATACAAAGGATTCTAAGAAACTACTGTGAACAATTATGCCAAGGTAAATACAACCAGAGACATTGAAATAAAGAACAAACTAACAGTAACCAGAGGGGAGGGTGGAAAGGGTTAATTGGGGAATATAGAGGAAGTGCCATCAAGGAACATGTATAAAGGACACATGGACAAAGCCAAAGAGGGTAGGTTCGAGGCTGGGAAGTGGGGATGGGTGGGGCGGCAGGCGTGGTGGTGTGAAAATGGAGATAAAAGAAAAATACTGAATTCGTGCACTCAAACTTGGGGTCCAGGCCTGGAAATCTGTACTTTATCACAGTCCTATGTAAGCCTTATAATCAGGTATGTTTGAGGCTGATATATTATAAAGAAAACTAACAGTTCTCAACCATGCTAGGCAGAAATTAGGATTCAAATCTAACTCAAGTGATTGAATAACAACTTGAAACAATAACAAACCTTTCATAAAAACTTTAAAACTATGTAAAATGTTTTTAAAAGCGATTAATATCACCCTGGCCAGGTGGCTCAGTTAGTTGGAGCATTGCCTTCTATGCAAAAGGTTGCGGGTTTGATCCCTGGTCAGAGTGCATACAGGAGGCAACCAATCAATGTTTCTCTCACGTATTGATGTTTCTCTCTCTCTCCCTCTCTCTTCCTTGCTTTCCAAAATCAATAAAAACATATCCTCAGCTGAGGATTAAAAAAATCAAATACAAGTAATATCAATGAATTTAAACAAAATATAAAATGCATACCCATTGCCCCACAAGCTGCAGGTATGAAAAGAATGTGTTTACCTTCCTCACTTTTTGAGCCACTAGGTTTTCTTTTACACTAAATTCTCCTCTCTTTCTTATAAATTTTTACAATGGTTTTATCCAAAATGTTATTAAAATAGGATAATTTCCAATTGGTACAAATTGAATGTTGTTAACTTAATCCTTTCTCAATATTCAGTGAATTGTTTTCAGATTTCCCAATCACCCAGCAAGAACAAAAAGTATCGTACGCTGAAGAGAGACTGACTTCTGGCTTTACAGCAGATGGAAACCAGAACAGAAACCTGCACTGTGTCTCCATAATAGGTTAGCATTACATGGTCCAGAGAGCTCTTAATTGCAGAGGCCTCAGCATTTTCAAGTCTGCCTACAGGGGGATCTAGGCTAATGGGAACACAATAAAGAGGGAAAGGAGCCATTGGCTGGACAGGCCATTGTTGGCGGAGCAGTGGTCTGCTGCTCTGCCAAGCAGCCCTGACATTCTAAGTGACACCCTACAGCAAGACAGCATATACGTGGATACCGCTTGCCGCATCCAGCACTGCAGCCATGTTACATGCTCGCTCTACAATTTCACCTTAAACACCCAGACCTGCTAGCAGAGCTCAGTGAAACCGCAAGCTCTAGAGACACACCATGGATATTTGAAACTTCAATCACAAAACAGAGAATGCTGGTTAGCTTTCGGCATTTGAGTATTTACTGGAATCTGTCCTCCATCTCAGCAAGGGAGGCTGTGGGAGCCTATGGGTTGTAATTCTCTAGGCACAAGGCTTAGAAACCTGCACATGCCATCTAAAACCTTGGGCTCTGCCTGTCTCCACTGCCTTCAGCTGTGAGAGGAGAGAAAAGAAGGAGGACACTGTACAGTTCCTTTTGCTTCTTAGTAAGGGCAGGAAAAACAGGTAGTTCTACAAAGTCCTAGTCCCATGACCACAATCCCCCATTCAGATTCAATATATAACTCTTAGGAGAGTTACGATATCCTTTGTACTTAGAAGACAGCACAGGAATTGGCAAACGGTGTATGTCAGCACACTTAAGACAGCATGTGGACAGTGCGTAGTTCAGATGAACAGATCCCAGGTATCCCTAATAGCTGTGTGACATTGAGTGACCATTCTGTTCTTGGGTTATCCTGTGTCATGGACATGATGACAACTGAGTGCACCTCACAGGACTATTGTGAAGACTAAAATGGTTACACTTAGCATTTAGAACAGTGCCTGGCACACAGCAAATCCAAAACAAATATGTGTCACTACAGTTTCACTAGGTAAAATAAGCCAACTGGTAAAGAAACCAAGAGTAAATGTCTGCATCCAAATCTAGTATATAAAAGAGCTGTCTGCCATTCAGCCATTTTATGTGATTAGTGAGCATCCACTCATAAGGCTTTATACTGGGTTCCAAGCTGACGCCAGTAACTGTCATCTTCCACCACCAGTGAGTTCTAGCAGATGTGATTTTATGGGCATCGCTTGTAATGAGTTTTTAAAGGTAAAGAACTAAGAGAAAGAAAATGGAGATGCTGCTGGAGGGCTTTTTCTTATCTTGTGGCTAAATGAAAGACAAACAAGAAAGTACAGCTTAAGTGTCTATAGGATTTGCTTTTACTTCAGGATAGTGACATTAATTATGTTACATTATTCAAATGGGTTTATCTAGTAATAACTTTAAAGCATGCAATTAAAATTAAAGGCATCTTCTAACAATTAGAAGAACATAATACTCATTGCCTCCCCCAAGATATAACTACAGCATACCTTGAAGATTTTGCAGGTTCCAGACAACTGCAATAAAGTGAATCACATAAACTTTTTGGTTTTCCCATTGCATATAAATGTTTACACTGTAACAGACTATAACATGTGCAATAGCATTAAGTCTAAAAAAATCAATGTACATATCTTAATTTAAAACTATTTTATTGCTAAAAAATACTAACTCTAATCTGAGCCTTTGGCAAGTGTAATCTTTTTATAAAAAACATAGTATATGTGCCCTGGCTGGCATAGCTCAGTGCATTGAGCGCAGGCTACGAACCAAAGTGTCGCAGGTTCGATTCCCAGTCAGGGTACATGCCTGGGTTGCAGGCCATGACCCCCAGCGACTGCACATTGATGATTCTCTCTGTCTCTTTCTCCCTTCCTTCCCTCTCTAAAAAACAAATAAATAAAATCTTAAAAAAAAACACAGTATATGCAAAGCACAATAAAGTGTAATAAAATGAGGTAGACCTGTATTGTTTTTTTAATTACCCTGCACTATAAGAAACTGAATATTTAAGCTTATATTAATAATGTATAAAGCCCTTAATAAATATGTTAGTATTTTTTCCAACATTCAAATTTTATAAAACTCTTATTTCACAAGGATTCATACTGGGTGAATATAAGTTAATGTGATAATAATCCTAGAAATGTATATATGCTTTGCTTAAAAAAGAAGTATCTATTAGGCTTTGCAAATTATCTCACATATTATTTTCTTCTAAATCCACAGGAAGTGATGGCTTCTCAGTTTTCATTATTTCATGTGACTTAGCGTTGTATAAGGAAGAATTTGTCTGGCCTTTGCCCAAGGTTATGGGGGGATCCTGTAACCCTTTGGAATTTTCTGAGTGACATGAGTGTCTTTATTAATCCTGGTGAACCCTAGGATCACATTTTATTTTATGCTAAGGGGACGTCACAGGATCGAAGGTGATCATGTCAGAAACATCACCATAGAACTGAAGGTTTGGGCTTTGAGCTGTAATATTTGACCGATGTCCTGACCTCTCAGAGATGAGAGGGGCTGGAGTTTCAGTTCTACCACTTGGGCAGTAATCCAAGTAACCATACCTATGTAATGAAAGCCCAGTAAAAACTCTGGCCACTGCCCTGACCAGTGTGGCTTAGTTGGTTGGGTGCCCTCCAGCAAACCGAAAGGTCAGGGCACATGTGTGAGTTGTGGTTTTGGTTGCCAGTTGGGGTGTTTGCAGGAGGCAACCGATTGAAGTTTCTTTTCTACATCAGAGTCTTTCTCTCTCTGTTTGTATCTCTCTCTCTCCCTCTCTCTCTCTCTCTGTCTCACTCGCTCCCTTCCCCTCTATCTAGAATCAATAAAAGAAAAAAGAAAACGCAAAACCTCTGGCCACCGAGGCTAGTTTTTTCCTGGTTGGTGAACACATCAATGTGAGAAGGATGATGCATCCTGACTCCACAAAGAGGGAGGAGACATGAAAGTTCTTTTTTTTTTTAAGATTATTTTATTTTATTTATTTACTTTAGAGAGAGGGAAAGGGAGGGAGAAAAAGAGGGAAACATCAATGTGTGAGAGATTTGGTTGCCTGTCACAAGCCCTCAACGGGGGACCTGGCCCACAACCCAGACATGTGCTCCGACTGGGAATCTAACTGGTGACTTCTCGGTGTTCAGGCTGGCATTCAATCTGCTGAGTCACAACAGCCAGGGAGGCATGAAAGTTCTAAAATAGAGACCCTATCAGACCACACCCTACATGTCTTTTCATTTGGTTGTTCCTGATTTTTACTCTTCGTGATAAAACTTTAATCATAAATATAGTGCTATCCAGAGTTCTGTGAGTCATACTAGCTAAGGATCAAACCTGAATTGGTGATGGGAACCCCTGAATTTGTAGCCAGTTGCTCAAAAGCAGGAGTGACCTAAAGAACTCATGGCTGGCATCTGAAGTAGTGGAAATCTGTTGGGAGACTGTTTCCTTAAATTTGTGGAGTCTGTGCTAACTCTGGGTGGTTAATATCAGAATTCCATTGTACTTAAATTGTCAGAAAAGTTGCTAAGCTGTTACAAACACAAACATATGAGGGAGACACCCCAAAATGGAATTATCTTCTGGAAGGCAGGCACCTTTTAATACAGGCTTCCCCTGCTAGGTGAGTGTTCTAGGAACCCTTCTGTATCAGTGGACTAGCTGGTGTTGATCTGAGAGGCTGGGTTCAGCTTCACTGAGTTTTTTTTTGAAGACTCAATGTGTTTGCCCACTTCATGATGGGTGATTTACAACTGCACCTGCCCACACCATGCTGAGCATTCAGCAGTTTTGACCAAAACAGCATGACCCCTATGTCCCACCTTCACTATTCACCCGATCTCTCCACAAACTTTTTTTCTTTGTTTCCCTGGATGAGAAAAGTCCTCAAAGGGAAATGTTTTACTGATGTCGAAGAGGTGAAGCAAAAAAATGGCAGAAGCACTAAAAGGCATCAAAATTGATGACTTCAAAAACTGTTTTGAGCAGTGGAAGAAATGTCTCACTGCAGAAATGTTGTATTACATCAAATGGAGAGTACTTGAAAGGTGACTGAAGTTTAAACATGTAAGAATACACAATTTTTAATAAACAAATTACATTTTTTGGTCCCCCCCTTGTATATATTTCTAATTGTAAAAGTAATACACCATCATTTGTGAAAATCAAGAAATGAAGTACAAATATAAAACAATGAAAACAATGCTTTTTAAAAAAGATTTTATTTACTTATTTTTTAGAGAGAAGGGAAGGGAGAGAGAAAGAGAGGGAGAGAAACATCACGTGTGAAACAGTGATCAGTTTCCTTCCCCAACCCCCAATCGGCACTCTGGCCTATAACCCAGGCATGTGCCCTGACCAGGAGTTGAACTGGTCATATGGCGACCAACCTCAGTTTGCAAGACGTTGCCCATTCACTGGACCATGCCAGTCAGGGCAAAAGAGTGAACATAATCCTTAATCCAACCTCCCCAAATAACCATTCTTAAAATGCTGGTGAATATCCTCTGTGTGTGTTTATGCTTCTGTGTGCATGCATGGGGGTTTTATAACAAATATAAGAAATACTGCAAACTGAACAGATATATTTGTTTAAATCCAAGTTACCAATGACTATACCTTAATTCAAAGGGTTCCATTTTTACTGTTTATACCTTTTTGGTATTATGATAAGTGTCATAAAATTTCTATTTACATAAATATTTGTACATGCCTCTGGCTATTCCCTTATGCTAAACTAATTTAAAATGGATTCATGTTCTCCCGGTGAATGTTTTTACAATTTAGGAAACATTTTGCCAAATTTTCTTTCTAGCAAGGCTTCTTCAGTTTAAACTCAAATAATATGTGAGTGACCATCTGAGTACCATTATCTTTAAACTTTGCCAAGTTGCTAAGTGGAAACTTGCCTTTGTATTACTATGCCATTAAAAATAATTCCTAATTCTTTAACTGTTAAAAAAATCATGTTTTCCAAAAGAGACACTTTAACTGATATGGTAGCTTAGTAGGGTTTAAGAATCACCAACGCAAAAATATTACAAAATAGCAGGTACTCAGTGTGGAAGGAACTTTCACTTACAACATTAAAAAAGGATTGTTGATTCTTCCTTCTTAAGTAACCCTTTAAATACCTATTGCTAATTTAAACATATAAAAGATTTACTCATTTCTTCACATAAAGACAAAGACAAGTGGAAATATAATGACTGCCTAGAGAAACAGCCCCCAAAATGGGAGGTTTTAAAGCAACAGATGGGGATGAGAAACTGAAACGGACTCCTCCTACCTTTGCACCTCTTACAGAAGCAGCTCAACCCAGTCTGCCGTCCTCAGCGCCGCTTGCTCTTCCTCCAGGGGAAGGATGGAGAATGAGAAGCTGCAGTGACCAGGGAGTCCCTGTGCCCCGCCCTCTCCCAGTCCTTGGGGAGCAGGAAAGGTGGGCGGTGCCTGAAGCATCCGGAGTTACTCAGAAATAATGTTGGTATCTGGATCCCATGTCGAGCTTGTATGCAGGAAGGGCAACAATGATTGCAGCTGGAGATTTGCAGGATTTTTTTCCTTTGGGTGGAGACCGCTGCAAACACCACCTCTGAACCTGAGCTTTGGCAGCTGCAGCCAGCCTGAGTTACAGTCTCCTGACGGTACCGCTGGTTTGGTGGGATCCCTCCGAGAGGTTACAGTCCACGAGGAACAGGAGGAAAGCTGGCAGTAAAGGAAAGGCATGAGCAAAATGAGAGAAGTGGGTTATGATTTGGAACTGTATGTGGCTGGGAATACAAAGATCTGGAGCAGAGGAAGTAAAAGCCAGGCATTGGCCACTTATAAAGTGTTTACAGTTGATAGTCTCATTCAACATGCATTGGGATGTGACTTCATTATATCACAGGCTGTCTTAAAGCCCAGAGCAGGCTGCAGCAGAAAAATGCATGTGTATATCGCAAAGCTCTTGTGTCATGCATAGTACAGAAGGAAAGATTTACAGTTTATTTTCCTTTTCAGGTTGCAAATGTTTGGCCCACCAAATACTGGTTGTTGTTCCAATGAAGCAGTTCTTCACTGAGGTGCCTCTAGGACCCCCTTGTAAACCTTTACCCACTATGCTCAGCACGCCGCATCTACTAGATGAAATGCCCCATTCCTTTGTAAGTCTGGCGTCTTTTTGGCTTATCGTGGGTGCAACATGTGTAGATCATGCGATGAAAACAGTTTTCTTTAACACCGACCCCTCCATTGTAATGACCTACAACACTGCTCACAGGTCATGTATGCATGCTGTGTGGGCTCTTCAAAATCAAAACAGAGGAACAGAATGTTGTTTCCAAGTTCTCTGAACGGAAGAGAACCGCCCAGAATATGACCCCTAATAGCTCTCTCACAGCACACCTCAGCCGCCTTTCCAAAGGCAATTCCTCATGGCCACATCTTCTGGAATTGCTCCTCCACCGCACCAGAATGAGTCCACCCCACGGACCAATCCGCACTCTGGGTCTCCTTCAATCTTCAACAGAGCGACTCTGTTGGGCTCCTCCTTCCACTGCCCCAGGAGTGCACTTTTTCTGAAGCATGCAAAGGTTCTGTTTCTAGCCATAATCAGTCTCCTAGGAGACCCAGTATTTCTCATTCTCCAGAATGGCTCTTTTCTTTTACCAGAAACAGACCCAATTGCTCCTGAACTCTAAACTGACCATTTATGGACAGAAGCAATTGTTAATATAAGGTTCGGAGTACATATTTTTATATTGAAAGAAAAATGTTGCTAAAAGTTTTAGGAAATGCTTGGTATTTTGCTTAAACTTCCTTGTAGTATACCCAGTTATTAATATTTATAAAAATACACAGACATGTATTAAGGCCTCCTCTGTTTCAGTAGAGAACATTCATTATATTGAGTGTGTTCATAAAAACAAAACATAAAAATAAATTAAAAAAAAAAGCAACAGATGCAGTTTCAATTTAACTTGCCATTGACTCTGAGTTGATTATTAAAATAGCTAGATTACCACCTTTCTGAGAGAAAAGTCCAAATTAACACACATCTTTAGGGCAGGCTCTGTGAAATTATTGCTGAAGAACACTATTTCCAATCAGGTTTGACAAGAATATCCAAAAGATACCCTCTGATCCTTCCCAATCAACTATAGGCTGCTGGGGTCCACCCTGGTCTCAGGAACAGGTCTACAGCAACCTGGTCTCAGGAAGCTGTAACCCCCCATGGCTAAGGCTGAGTGAGAGACCTCCAGACCAGGAGCCACTAAGAAGACAAGCTTATCTCCCTGGCAGGAGCACTGCTTCTGCTCCTTGCCTGGCCCCCAGTGCTTGATCAGTTAGCCAATGACTGGTAAGATTCCCCAAGAGGGAAATGACTTAAGACAGGCATGATCACATGGAGGCCCCAGAGAAGGGACTCAGGGGGCTGTGGAAATGAGGGGGAGATGGACATCGACTTCTGCCCCCTCAGCTTTGACAAAGCTTGAGTCCTTGTTCTGGCTGTGAGAAATCCAAGACTCCTGGCTGCCTTTGTCTCCTCTGCCCGACTCAGGCCTGCAGAAATAACAGGGGCGGTGCAGTCCAGACCAGAGTCAGTGGGCCCCCAGGGTAATTAGACCTGAGGCATAGGATATGCAAGATCCTGTGAGACCTGCTTGCTGAGGATGCTCTTGAATATGAAGGCACGGGCAGGAAATGAAACTAGCCCTGTGGCTTTTTAAGTGATAAAAACCCAAACTCAGCGTGAGCTCTGTAAACTCTTTGAAAGATACCTACTCATTTGATCTTCCCTGCCAGACTATAATCCACAAACTGTATCCATACCCCTACCCAATACTGCCTAATAAAAAGCCTACTCAGGCAGTGACTTGGGGTGCTCTCCACTAGAGAGAGTGGCCATGCCATTCCTATTCTTCCACAAGATTCGGTAGTCTGTGTGTATTTCTCTCGTATCTTGAGCATCTACAGTGGTGATGGATACTGCTGGTTGATATCCATCACAGCAGGCTCTGTGAAATCATTGCTAAAGAACACTATTTCCAATCAGGTTTGACAAGAATATCCCAAAGATGCCCTCTGATCCTTCCCAATCAACTATATTTAGGTTTTTTTTTTGTTAAATTATACTTTTTGATTATGCTATTACAGTAGTAACAATTTCCCTCTTTGCCCACCTCCACCCAGCACCCCTGACTCCCTCAGGCAATCCCCACACCATTGTTTGTCCATGGGTCATGAGTATAGGTTCTTTGGCTACTCCATTTCCTATACTGTACTTTATAGCCCCATAGCTATTCGATAACTACTTATTTGTATTTCTTAATCCCTCACAACCTCACTCATTTCCCCATAACTCATCCCATCTGGCAACCGTCAAAACACTATATCCATGATTTTGTCTCTGTTCTTCCTGTTTGCTTAGTTTCTTTTTTAGATTCAATTGTTGATAGATATGTATTTATTGCCATTTTATTGTTCAAGTTTTTATCTTCTGTTTCTTAAATAAATCCCTTTAACATTTCATGTAATAATGGATTGGTGATAATGAACCCCTTTAGGTTTTTTCTTGTCTGGGAAGCTCTTTATCTGTCCTTCAACTCTAAATTATAATCTTTTCTGGATAGAGCAGTCTTGGCTGTAGGTCATTGCTTTTCATCACTTCAAATATTCCGTGCCAAATATTTCTAGCCTGCAAAGTTTCTTTTGAGAAATCATCTGACAGTCTTATGGGAATTCCCCTGTAGGTAACTACTTTTCTGTTGATACCTTTAAGATTCTCCCTTTATCTTTAACCTTTGGCATTGTACCCATGACGTGTCTTGGAGTCAGCCTCTTTGAATCCATCTTGTTTGGGACTCTCTGTGCTTCCTGGACTTGCATGTCTATTTCTTTCACCACATTAAGTAAGTTTTCTTTTATTATTTTGTCAAATAGATTTCCAATTTCTTGTTCTTTCTCTTTTTCTGGCACCTCTATGAAGCAAATGTTAGAACACTTGAAGTTGTCCCATAGGCCCCTTACACTATCATTTTTTGGATTTTTTTTCTTCTTGTGTTCCGATTGGTTATTTTTTGTTTCCTTATGTACAAATCGCTGATTTGATTCTCAGCTTCGTCCACTCTACTGTTGATTCCCTGTAAATTGTTCTTTATTTCAATTGGTGTATCCTTCATTTCTGACTGGATCATTTTTATGCTGCAGAGGTCCTCACTAAGTTAACTGAGCATCCGTATAACCAGTGTTTTGAACTCTGCATCTGATAGATTGCTTATTTCCATTTTGTTTAGTTCTTTTTCTGGAGTTTTGGTCTGCTCTTTCATTTGGGCCATGTTTCTCCACATTTTGGCAGCCTCCCAGTGTTTGTTTCTGTGTATTAGGTAGAGCTGCTATGACTCCCTGTCTTGGCAGCACAGCCTAATGTAGTAGGTGTCCTGTAGGGTCCAATGGCAGTTTCCCCATCACCGAAACTGGGTACTCAAGGTGTGCCTTTTGTGTGGGCTGAGGATACCCTCCTCTTGGTTGCAACTTGATTACTGTTAGCAGGTTAATGGGAGGAATTTTCTCAGGCCAATCAGCTGCAAGTACTGGCTACGATTACTGACCACCAACCTCTGCCCTCTGTGCAGAATCAACTGTGCAGGGGCCAGGTGGTGGTCCTCTGACATGATTTTTAGGTGCCCACTGGGTGTGCAGGCTCTGGAGTTTCCCGAGTGGTGCTGACCACACAAGGTCAGCTCTCACCTGTGTTCTACCTGTGGTCACTGTGACTGTGCTAATAAGCCATCTGAGATGGCTGCTACTTGTACTTGGCTTGGAGATTCCCAGGCAAAGCCAAGTTGTGAATCTAGTCTGGATGCTGCTAGTACTGGGCCTGGGGCCACTTAGCAGGTATGGGGAGTTGCGGGCTCACTGAGGCTGGCTGTTGTTTGTATGAGAGGATTTAGGAATTTGTGAAGCATGAACCAAGACCAGTTATTCATATGGATAAGCAGCTTACATGGGCCTGTAAGTTGGGTGGGATGGACCGAGTCTCTGCCGATCTCCAGGGCAGGACAAACAGTGTTATCCAAGTTGATAAAGTCTCACATATGGCACCAGCCTGCCAGCTCTGTGACTCTGTGGGTGGAGGGTTCAGGGACAACAGCCTTTGTCTGCCTTTCCATTTAGGAGATAGCTGTCCCCCAGTTCTCACTTGGATGCCACACATTTCATTTTCTCCCTGTATGCTACTGGTGCCTTTCAAGCTGCTACTCCAGTGCTGCAGCTCAAAGGGATTGGGTCTGAATTAAGTCCCTGTGTGGGTTCTTTAAGAGTAACTTCTTGAGATGTCAGAAGTTTCTTCTACCAACTTAATCCCCACTTGTTTTTGCAGCCAGAAGTTATGAGGACTTAATTTTTCTGGGAAATAGAACCCTCAGCGGGGGGGGGGGGGGCTGCTGTTGGGCCAGGACTCCTTGTTCTAGAGACATCCCTCCTGAATTTTATCTACCACCCATGGATTTGGGAGCAGCTCATTTCACTTCTGCCCTCCTCTTACCAATCTGGACATGTGGTTTCTTTAATTCTGATGTTGTCAGACTTCCATTCAACTCGATTTATGATGGTTCCAAGTGATAGTTCTTTGTACTTTAGTTGTAATATTGATGTGATTGTACAAAGAGGTGAGCCATGCTTACCTATGCTGCCATCCTGAGCGGAAGCCCTTATATTTAGGG